ATGATACAATTATTTTTTTATATAGCTGCTGATTTTTGTTTGGGACAATATTTGATGCAACTTATTAAATATATTGTGGTAAGGAGTGCAGTTTTTGAATTCCTCTCAGTGTTTTTTTCTTTCTTCACTTCGGTCAATCTGTATTCCAAAATCGGACATTTCCTGTGTCTTTTTTAGCAATTTGTTTAACTTCTTGTACATTAAAAGCATTTCATCTTCCCCTCTATTGCTGCTTTCACAGTTCAGCTGCTGTTCAGTTAATAACAAAGTAAAATCATTCAGTTCTTAATTTGTTATTTCAGAATTATCATTCTTGACTAATGTTTCTATTTCTTCTTCCATATATGAATATTCCTTTTGCAGTTTTTATGATTTCCTTGGCTTCATTTTCACTCGATGGAAATCCTTTAAAATTGTTCATTGGCCAGAGCAGAAGCCAGAAAACATTCATGGTTGATGAATTCACTTATTCCCATGGGCCTTCAATCATTTCTATGCAGTGTCTTATGTTGAATTCGCCCACCAGCAGCCGAGCGGTAAAGTCGCTGAACACTGGTAATTCGGTCCGAGGTTCGAATCCCTCGAATGGACTGGCTGCATGGGCGTTTTCATGGTTTTCCCCATGTGTAACGTGTATACGAGCCAGTTTCCCTTAGAAAACCCTCCACGAAGGCATTCCTTCCCTTAGGCATATAGCCCTCGAGGCTTTGTCATAATCACATACACACTTATGTTGAATTTCTTCCAAAAATCCCATTAGTGTGCTTTCTTTCATCTAGTACTTTATTTGCAAAGATGTAAACATGCCTGTTGTAACACGCTTTGAATGTTCTTATAATTCCTTGATCCATTGTTTGGATTAAGGGAGTTGAGTTTGGTGAAGAGAGGAGAACATTACAGTTCAGGTTTTGTTATTCTATGTAATATCTGACTTTTTTAATGAATGAATTTTCAAACCAGTCATTAAAGAAAACTATTGCAATGCTGCCAATATTCCGCAACATGCTGCATGTAATTGGAATTCTCACATTGGACAAATTAAATTGATACAATTAAGATAATGCATATAAGCAAATTTGTGTTCTTAGTGTGTTTACTATAATAACAAGGAAATGGGAAGAATGCATTGAAAGAAAACTTAAGCATTCATTTTTCTTTCATTAAAGATTATTTTGAAAATATGCTAAAGATTAAGATTACTTAAAACTCAGTTTTTAATTACAAATATGAAGGGGGAAAAGTTTGTTAGACAGTAAGTTCTTTAGTCCACTAACTTCCCATTTGTAATACTAAAAGGAGAAAAGCATGTATTATAAAAGGACCATTTTTCCAATTTCCGATAAATGGTTTATGAACATATCTGTTCAGTTTGATTCTTTAAAATCCACAAAACATGTTATGTAAACTGAAAGGTAAATATACTGAAAAAAAATTAATGCAGATGACAAAAATTTAAGTATGATCAGCTTTAGGTATTCAAAATAAGTAAACAATTTGAAAGAAAGCAACATATATGAGATAAGAAAATCGTGAAGTTGTGAAGCAATGTAAAATGGTATGTACACTTTAGTGAATGAAAGCAAAAAAAGAATTAATACAATTAAATCTCCCTGCATCATGTCTAGCAGGGAAATTTAATGTATCGATACCAGTTTTTGGTGCTCTTCGGTTATTGGGACCAGATTCAGAAATGTATGTATGTATGCATGCATGTACAGATGTATGTGTTCATGTGCATATGTATGTATGTGTGTGGTATAACTTCATCACTCAATACATAAATTTTAATAACTGTATATATTGTATATACAGTATGTATATTTATCAGTATATTTTTCAGTTTCGTTGTCTTAGTTGTTAAAAATTGGGTAACATTTCTGAATCTGATCCCAATTATAGAGGAGTACCCAATTTTTAACAAACTAAGACAACGAAACTGAAAAATATACAGTGTTATTAAAATTTATGTATTGAGTGATGAATTTATACCATAAACGTAGTTTTCAAGGAGCGTAAATATGCAAGAGATGCAAAAAGACTAACTGGTACGTTAATGTTTCAATAATTTTATAATTTGCAAGTGGAATGTTGGTAAGTCTTTTGGTATTACTGATAATAAAAGATAAAGAGCAAGATTTATAACATTTCTCACATTGATAGATCCGAAAAAGTTTAACAACGATTAATTCAAGCATAGCAAAGAAGAAAATAGCACTTTTTCAGTAATTTTATTTTCCTTAAAATGAGAGAAAAAAAATTAAAGTAATACTTTTACTGCGTACTCAAATAAAAGTACGGTGCGGACTGACAACCTTGTCTTCATGGGAATGACAGATCTAAACTTTTACTTATAATTTCATACTTAAGCAGATTGTCTAAATGTTCTCTATAATTCATTATTGTAGAGAAGCTTCCAAACAACCTTCTTCTCCGCATTTAATGTGATTCAGCTCACTTCAAAATTTGTGCATGTTGCGTAAATGCTTTCTAAGTTGCACCCACGGAGTATTAAAGTATACTCCATAGTTGCACCTTATTTTTAAAACGTTTTTCGCAATACATGCAAAGCACACACTCTTCCGAAGAAGACATGCCGTACGCATTCTACCAAAACATACAACTATCAAATAGATAATCAACAGTTAAAATGGACCATCGCGTCAAAGAATATGTTCAACTTTCTGTGATCGCGTCACGTAACAGAAGACCACGCCCACAAGCTGATGTCATCGAGAAGTCTAATTTAATTGGCTAGCTACATGAGGGTACAGCGCGGGGTCTAGCTTCTCGTCCCAAAACGGCAGCCTACGAGAGAGGCGATTCTATTATTTTCATCGGGGAGTAGAGAAGTTAGAATTATTGCACATGGTCTCTTTCCCTAGGAGAGCAGAAAGAAAACACGCTAGTTTTCCAGTTATTTTTCTACCACTAATGTCTCCAAAATTTTCAATCCACTTTTCATGGCCATAAACGTCTCTTCCCGTCTTCTGTCACCATGTCATCAAATTGCCATAATTTGTTTAAAATAAATTGTGTTATCACGTGTTATAATTGCATCAACTATCCTGAAAAGAGGCTTTACGCATAGTTATCAATCTGTTTCCCTAAGAATCACATCTTCCCGCAGAATTTACTTCTGCCTTTGAATATTTTCTCGCGTTTACCCCAACGAGATATATACTGGTAGAGAGCGTATTGTAACCTCCAACCGGTTCCAACCAACGAGATATTATATACTGGTCATCAAGTTGTTGATATTTCCACATATAGCTTCCTAATCCAAAAACACAAATTCCATTCCTTTTTTCATATAAGGATTGAGAAAACGTAGCTTGATCCGATACTTTTTATGTAGATTCGGTTCGATTTTAACCCCTCCAAAAAGCGTGTGAACTACAGTTTCCTCTGCAATGGGAATTAGTCCTAGACTTCAAAATGTGCGATTTTTGTGATCCGCAATTGAGAAGCGCTCGTACTTCTCTCGTGACTGATTTTCGTAACACATCGAATTTGTCATTAGAGCTACCTCCATGGAACACATCTGTCCCGCCGTAGTTGCCTGAACGGTGTGTGGCTGTGTTGCCTTTTCCTGCGTTTCCTGTGTCTGCAGATCCGGGCAGAGAGAAACTGTGTGAGTTTTACTTCACACATAGCAACGTACAAACTGCTTACACAACTTAGCAACATGTCCAAGCGAAAGGCACTTTAGGCAACACCTCTTAAGCCTAATTTTATTCTTTTTCTCATCTAATAACAGAGAGCGTGCTTCGTAGCAATCCTTACTATCAAGTAGTTTATCGCAAAAAATAGAGTTAATATCTTTCATCGTAAGGAAACATGCTGACGTAAGGACATTCGTTAACTGTTTCGATTTAAACTTGTTTTTTAAATCCCTTTTCGATTTATTGCAATACTTGTCTTTTTGCCCAAAAATTTCGAATCCACTCCTCGCTAACTTAAGTCCTTCCTCCCCCTCCACTTCGCATCTTAAAAATTTCATAAAATTAGTTAGGCGAGAAATACCCTGATTTTCGTTTACTTCTCCAATCTTTGCTAGGCTCTGAGGACTTCCTCCGAGAGGCATGATTCTACCATGGGATAACCAACAAGTATTGTTTTCCGTTCCCTCTTATATCAAGTCGTTGGCTCCAATATTCTGATTACGACAAAGCGCATTAGGGTTATGGGCCAGGAAGAGATGCCTTTACGGAGGACTTTTCAACTGAAACTTTCTCGTACTTTCATTTCGCGTGGAAAAAACCATGAAAAGTCTCTACCAGCCGTTCGCCCAGATCTGAACTCGGGTCAAATTATGAATATTCAGCCAAGACCAAACTAGACAATCAGTACTGAGTGGTCTCGCAAGCTTGGTCACTGGCAGGCAAAGTAATTAAATAGAACTACTTTGTAACAGAATTAATTGTCCCTAAAAATTATTTGCTTTAACTCACATAGTCACCAACAGCTGATTAGCTGTCAGCTATAGCTCCCCACTAAGCTCATTTGAGTTAGAAAGGTGACATTTTAAATATTTATAAGCAAATTTTTTCAGTACAGTTAATATTAATTCGGTAAAATACAGAGAAATGCATATTTCGAAACTATCTGAAACATATTTTACAGCATATTTTTCCTCCGTTAATATAAAATTAATAAATATTATTTTTTACTATATTTTGTCTCAATGCTATATTATACATTAATTTTACTAGCGCTTTCTAGATTAGTGTTGAAAGCATCCCCCTGTTAAAAAATAGAATAGACAGTAAAATTTTTATCAGAAGTGGCTATGTTAATTGTTGCTAGACGAATTCTACACTGCGCGCAGTATCTAAATATAGAAACGAATGTTGCTGTCAGAAGCTTGACTTAGCGGTCACCTTAAATGTAGGAAGGTAGTTTAATTTTATGTACAACTGAAACTAGAATGAAGGAAAATGAGGTGATTTTTTTTTTTTTTTTAAACTTAAGGTTTTATTAATTGTGACTTACCTCTTTCTGTAGATGGCGTTAAAAATTTAGTTTCTGTTATCTATTTCTCTCTTATCACATTTGTAAACATTTGTTTTTTGGTTCTGTTATTTGTTATCTGATTAATTTTTTCCCATTTACTGTAAATTTTTAGTGTATACTTTCTTCTTTATAATGATTCATGGCCGGCGTTTTAGTACTCGAATTCGCATTTCGTTCAGGACTTTAGTTAAGTATTTTGTTTGTAAGAAAATCCGTAATTTCGTCTAATAAATTTCAAATGGATTCAATCAGACGAATTAGCAAAGTTGAAAGACGAGTGGTAAATAACACTCTTATATTATACAGTAGGAAAATACAGATGTTTGGTAATTTATTATTTTCTGACATTAATGTAGAAATGTTCCATCTTTGTATGATTAAATATTCTAAATACCTAGATAAAACTAATAACACTTTTAATATGTGTAATTTGTAATAAAGTTTTTTTTTTTTTTTTTTTTTTTTCTGTATGTCACATCAGCAGTATCTGAAATATTTTATAACTGTACTGTAATATAGATTGTTATATAAAATCAAGCCTCATATATTTTTAAAAGATATTGTATTAGTTATAGTTCATGTATTAGAAGTGTTATAGTGTATTTGTTAGAAAATTTTCAAATTGAAACCAATTTAGAAAGAAATTTAATTCATAAAATAAGCATGTCACTAGTAATGGTATAAATCTTTTTGCAATCTAAGTTTGCAAAATAATACTATGTTAATCAAAGGATACTATGTCATGAAATGTAAAGATCATGGTGTTGATATCTTGAAATGTAAAAATGAAGAAATCATAACAATAAGGTAACTTCCAATCAGGGGCGTAGCTAGAGGGGGGCATCTGTCCCCGGGCGCTGAATCCAAGGGGTGGCAAACTGATGTTACGACATTTTAGAATTAAATGTTTTCCATCCTTGGCAAGCAGTAGGGGGCACGAAATCTTCAGTTGTCCCTGGGTGCTGAAAACCCTAGCTACGACTCTGGTTCTAATCCTGAGAAAACATCTTGGATATAGATTCACACAAGGAATAAAATTCTGTCAATTTTGAACAATTAAACAACATTTGTTTAATATACTGAATGATTTTATACCTGTTTCTTTAGTTGTAGTCATATTATGATTGTAGAAATATATGAAAATCATAGTAATTTATTTCATTGTCTAGTCAAATTTCAGTCAGTCATATTCCATGAAAAGATAACCTCAGTTAAACAGCCCAAGAAAATTCCTCATTTGGTCTGATTTTGTATGAAATGTTTTTTAAGAAGTACAAGTAAAATGTTATGATTAAAATTAATGATAAGAGTACTTTAATGTAGTTTATCTTTTCACCGACTCCACGGTAAGATGATTCCTTATCTCATCTCATTTGAATTAAATTTTTGACCAGCATAGGGTATGCTTTATATGTGGATTTATGTACCTTTAATATATTGCCTTAATTTCTAGAGCATATTTCAAAATATATACGTTCTTACAGGCATCACAAAAAATGTTCTAAGCCATACACGGCTTCGAATTTGACTTAATTTTTTTTTTTATTTTCCTGATATTTATAGCATGCAACATATTGATTTTCATGTTCACTTTAAATCATGTAATATAATTTCTTCATTACTTTTTACCCCATAAAATGTTAGCAATTTTTAACTTCCTATTAAATGAGAGAAAAAAAGCAGTGTTTTTTTTGCAATATCAGTCATTCTTTTTTTGCTCTAAAATGTTGATCCTCTTTAACTTAGTATCAACAGAAAAAGAAGCAGTGATTTTTCCTTCAAGAGCATGGAATTTTGCATTTTGATTTAAAGAGCAGAAATAGCTGTCATTGTATTAGAAGGTAAAGAAAGCATTTGGAAATGCAAGCGCAAAACTGTAGGACAAAAATGTCTTCAGGCCAGTAATTTGTTTCATGATTCTTGGCTGCTTTTTTTACTGCTTTGGTTTCATATACTTTTAGGCTGAAGAACTAACTTGCATCAGATGGTGCAACAAACCATTTAATATTTGTAAAAATAAAAAAGTATAAATATTTGAGCAGATGATGCAACAGGCAATTTAATTTGAGTGAAAATAAAAAAAAAAAGTATGAATATTTGATTCTAAAACAGTAGCAGCTGTCAAATTATGACCTCTAAAAAGATAAATTAATGTTATTCCCGCCATACATTGTAGTTTTTAATTTTTGAAGATTGTCATAGTGTTCCTGTGGTTTTTGCCAAATTAATTTTTAAGTGCTTGTGACGGCTTTAACAAGGAAATACCGTATAATGTTTAATATATCGTATGATCCTTATTTACCACTTCAAATTTGTATTTTTAATTGTTTTTATTTGATAAGTTGATAATGTTTGCTAAGTTACAATATATATCAGTACTTTAAATTAGGCAAAATTAAAACCTTGTATTTAGCATAGGTTTTAATTGAAACTCTATCAGTTTCAAGGGCAAACAGGTACACGTCCATCTTCATCAGGAGTAAGAAAATTGTATCATTTTGGTCTGTTTGCCATTAAAATTGATAGTTTCAACTAAAATCAATTCCAAGCACAAGGTTGTTCTTTTGCCCAATTTTTAAATTTCAGTTTGGTGTGTTTCTCTTCTTTCTTGAAATGTCAGTAGTTTGGCAGTCATTTTTAAACAAGTTATCTACTCACCCCTTATAAATAACTTCTCTCCCTTATTTTTAATGAAATAATGCTAAGTTTGTTTCTATACTTGTATGCAGTTGAAATTTCTTTAATTTGCAGAATTGTTTAAAACAGTTTCTGTGTTCAATGTTAATGTTTTTTCCCTTAATGTATTCAATAAATGATTAAGGTAGATGACTAGGAAATTTTTAAGTTTCATCCCCTCGAGAGAAACTGCTTCACTGGTTAATTCAAACTGTAGATGTTCTAAGCAACCATTGTATAGATTTTGGACCATGTTCTATAAATGTGGATCATTCATCTCTTCATGCTCTCACATTTATATATCTTTAATTCTGTTTTAAAGCCAGGCATTTATTTAAATTAAAACCCACAGCTCCAATGGTAAACTTGTACTGATTTTAAGAATTCTTGTTGGATATTAATTTAATCCTTGCAAATTAGGGTATATATAAAAAATGTGAGGATGTGTGCTAACTCTATGTATATTATTAAGAGAAAATCATCATATCTAAAACCATCGTATCTAAAACATCTAAAACTGTAATCTTGTAGCATAAAAACCTTTTTTTTTTTTCCTGTTTTAAAATGAAACTGAAGCCAAAAACTGAATACTGCACATTTATATTTTGTATTATGAACCATAAATCTGCAACAAACTATAGCTGTTGTATGCACCACATGGTGTAAAACTTAACTGAACACTGGACTATTAATCTTTATCATTATTACCTATAACTAATTTACTGCAGCCGAATCTTAAATTGTCAATTCATTATTTCTGTTGAATTTTTCAGATAGGTTATTAAACAGTGTTGCATTACTTTTTATAATATCCGAAAATGTGGGATGTATATTATAAAAAGTGTTATAACTGACCATGTATATTTTAAAACTACCTATAGATATAGATATATCAAACTATAGATATAGATATATACTATATCTATAGTTTGTATGTAAAACTTTTAACAGTTGAGAGTTATTGCAAAAATGTTGCAATATGAATTATAAATGAGTATAGCATCTTTTTTCCCTAATTTGTGCATGAGCATTTGTCTAATTGATTTTTAATTTTTTATGATTAAAAAACAGATTAATGTGAATTTTTTTTAGTGGGCATAAGTATGATAGAAATGAAAGTTTTTAAATTTTATTTTAAGCCTTATTTATTATAATAAGTTTATTTATTTACTTTTGCTGAAATGTTTCGGTTATCTGTTGTATTTCTTCCTTCATCTGTTTTTTAACCTGTGTCATTTTATGTTATTATTTTTACTAATTCATTAAAACAAGTTATATTTGTTATAGAGTTTGTTGGAGGGTCCAATTAGGATATTTAAGGGAAGTACTACACCTGCTGTCATTCAGTATCGAAGCAGACTTGCAAGTATTTCAGAAATTGATGCCGAACAAGTAAAAATTGCTAATTATGCAGATACTGTAAAGCAGCTTGATGCATATTATGGCCAAGGTAATTACATATTCCAGTCTTGCAAATTCTGATTTTAAGTGATAAGTACTAATGTATTTGATGAATTTATAAATGACTGTAAATAATAATATGTAATAATAATTAAAAAATCAAAACTACATCTGGCTGCTTTAATCTAGATTCTCAGACTGTACCTTCAAAGATCAGACTAAAGATGAAATAAAGCAAGATGATCATGTAAATTTTGACAATTTACTTATCAGCAGAAAAGGGGCATGCATTAATTACTAAAATAGAGATGTCTTAATGAAGGGTTTCTTTAACTATGGGTCGCGACCCCGAATGGGGTTGCAAATTGAAATTTTGGTGTCACAAAAATTAAATTTGATAATTGAATTTAAAGAAACTGCATAAGACTTTTAAAGAAATTACATTAATTGATATTAATGCAATTAATTACCTGTTATATAAAGTGCAAAAGGAGTATGTAAAACTGTCTATCAATTCAAACTTAAAACTTGAATTTTCACAAAAATCCTTGATGAATTCTGGATCAAAGTTAAAACTAGATTTCTCACTGTTTCTGAAGTGGCATTAAATGTTCTTCTGTCATTCTTCTTCTTCAATGGCCAGACAGCCCAGGATGGGCCCTTGCCTTTCTCAGAATCAAATTCCAAGTTGTTCTATCCCTGGCCATGGACATCCAATTGGTTATTTTAAAAATTCTTAAGTCTGTTTCGGGCATTAAATCATTGAGAGTATTAACTTCTGATCATAAATATTTAAATTTGCTAACAGTTTCAAATTTGTAATTCCCAATTTCAAAATAGGGGCTGCTGTTTTTACTGCATGGCATGTATTTAGCTTTATTTTGGTTAATTGCTAGATGCATTTTGCTGGCTGCAGCCTCTAGAGATGTAAAAGCCTCTGTAAGTGACTCAGGAGACTATGTCAATATTGTCAGCAAACACAAAAATCTGAACAGATTTGTTAAAGATAGTTCAACGAGTATTAATGTTGGAGTCTTTTATGATTTTTTCGAGGGCAAGGTTAAAAAGCAAGCAGGCCAGTGCTTCATTGTGTCTAAGCCCATTTAAAACAACAGGAAGTTTAGAAAGATTATTCTGGATCTTAACCCTAAGTTTTGTTTCAGTAAGAGTAATGGTGACAAAATTTATAAGTTTTTCAGGTACTGCAAATTCTCTCATATCTTCAATTAAATATTTTCTGTCTACTGAAGCGTAGCTAGTCTTAAAATCAACAAAATGTGGTGCGTTGCAATGCCAAATTCATTGTTTTTTTCCAAAATTTGCCTAATGTTAAGCATTTGTTCTGCTGTAGATCTTCCTTTGTAGAAACCACATTGGTTAGATTTGTAGAAACCAACAATATTTTCTGTATATTGGAAAATGGTTTGTAGAAAACACAAAGGAGACTGATTCCCTGTTGTTGGTACATTCTTCTTTTTTTTTTTTTTCAAATGGCGGGAACTTGCCTATTACAGCATTGGCCACTACAAAGGCCAGAAGCAGTGACCATTTCATTATGGAGGCACCTGATAGGCGGCCACTGTTATCTCCTGTGAAAGGACAGACAATTTTACATCCATGCCTTCTCCGAGATTCGAACCCGGGCCCTTTTGTATTGCAGTCAGGCTTCCCTAACCACTATACCGCCTGGGCGGCTGTTGGTACATTTTAAAATGTCTCCTTTTTTGTGTATAGGAAAGTTGATGCTCAGTTTCCAATCTTCGGGTAAAACTTCTTGGTTCCAAACTGTTTTGATGAGGTGATGTATTTCCTCAGTGCTTTGACCTGCAGCACTTTTAATAAGTTCTGAAGTAATCGAGTCAGGGCCTGGGGCCGTGTTATTTTTTAGCTTTTTAATTCATTCTCTAACTTCTGCCAAAGATGGTGGCGGGATACTATCAGTGTTTACAGAGGTAGATGGGTAGGTTGAAGACCCATCCCACGTATGGTCATTCAACAAGTTACAAAAGCGCTCATTTCACCTGTGAAGTACCTCTTTTCTATAATTTAGGATGATGTTGATTTTGTCTCTACAGGCAATAGTTCTAGGCTTAAAATCTTTGCAGCCAAGATTAATTTCAAGATAGAAAGCACGGCTTTCGTTGGACCCCCTCAGGTGTTCAACATCCTTAATTAGGTCGTCGTGAAAGTCTTTTCTTAAGCCGATGGATCTTCTCCTGTTTTCTAGATCTCTTATATTCCTCAACAGAGAGTCTTGAATGTTGCTTTCGAACCATATTTTTATAAGCAACTCTTTTTGCCTGCGTTACAAGGAAGCATTCATTATCAAACCAATCCTTTGGTTTTTGTTTTTCCATATATCCCAGTGTGTTGTCAGCTAAGCGTATGATTGAATCTGAGCAAACTCCACTTATTTTCCACAGTTTCCAGTTCGGCCATGCTTTTAGATCTTAGTTCTCTGAGTGAGGGCTGGAAATTTCATTTAATTGCCTCATTTTTCAGCTTTTCACAATCAAACTGTGTTTGCCTCTCTCCCTGTATCTTTCGGGCATTTGAAATTTTAGCAATTAGTTTAGCAATAACCAAAAAGTGGTCAGAATCACAGTTGGCACCTCGATAAGTTCTAACATCCTGGATATCTGAAGAATGTCTAGAATTGATGAGTACATGATCAATTTGATTCCAGATTTCTCCATGAGATGAGTGCCAAGTCATCTTATGTATTCTCTTGTGGCTGAACACAGTGCTTGAAATTATGATGTGTTCAGCAGCAAAAGGTACTAGTCATTGTCCATTGTCATTAGTACTATCATGTAAGCCATGCTTTTCAATTGTTGGTCTAAATTCATTCTCTTTACCCAATTTAGCATTCTTATCTCCCATAACAATTTTAATGTCATGCTTGGGACAAGATGTGTGTAACATAGAAAGTTTCTCATAAAAAAATTTCCTTCTCTTCCTCTTCTTTGTCCTCTGTAGGTGCATGTCCATTGATAATACTATAATTAAAAAAACTTTCCCCTTAGCGAATTTTGCAAAATTGGGGTGATTTAGGAAAAAAATCAATCACCAAGTGTTTTAAACTTTTGTTCAATAAGAAACCAGTACCAAAAACATTTTTTTTTTTCACATCGCAGCTACAGTAAACCGTGTGCTCTTTTCTCAAAGGTACCTTCCCCAAGCGATTGCATTTCTCTTCTGTCATTCAGCACTGCATATTTTTATGAAATTACTTTTTCTGCTTTAACGCTAATTAAAACCAAATGTCGTTCAGCATTGAAACATGTTGAAGATGCTGATTCAGAAGTCAAACAACAAAAATCAGCGTTAATTCACAAAATTTTCACAGGACTAGTTTCGATGGTTTTTACCGAACCATCATCTTCAGCTGCAAAACCGCAAATGAACAAGATAGGAAATAATGATTAGATAAGATAAGAAAGCCTGGACAAGAATAAGCAAGTGGCGCCATCTGTTGGCGAAACCAGAACTAAAACATAATTTCTCTAAAAGCCGAAGGCAAATTTGGATTCAAATTAGGATCGTTAACTAGAACAGAAAGATTTTTATGAATGTGAAATGCCTCTAGAAAATCCAGTTCTCCAATGGAAGATGTTTTTTGAATAATTTGGCAGCAGAAAAATTGAAAGTGTGATTTTCGGACCAACAATGTTGAGCAACAGAAGACTTCTGTGTTTCCTTTTTTCTAACATATGCCTCATGTTTCTTTGACGCGAAATTTTAAGGCTCTCTTAGTTTGGCCAATGTAAATTAAACCGCACTGGCAAGGAATCCTATAAATACCCCAGGAATTCATATCCGGAATGGGGTCCTTGAGTATAGAAGTTGGAATTTTATTGATGGGAGAGTAAACAACCCGAAAGTTAAATTTTCTGCAAATATGAGCAACTTTATAGCTAATTGATGGAAAGAAGGGAATGACAACAGAATTTTTATAATCTCCTAAAATAAGAGTGTGGCTTTTAGTGTGTTGAGATGAGAATTTTTTAACTGCTTGATTAATAATGTTGGGTGAAAAGCCCCTGTCAATAGCTATTGCTTTTAAATAATTTAGTTCTTCATCAAGGGCTAGTTTGGAGGAGCAAACTTGAAGAGCACGGAAACATATGAAATAAAATGAAGCTAACTTTTGTTTAGTCGGATGACATGATTTAAAGTGTGGTGGAAGGCAAACCGATGAAGGTTTACGGTGAAACTGTAGTACTGAAGTTGGATGTGTTATGTGTGACCAGAATGTCGAGAAACGGAAGAGAATTGCAAGTCTCAAGTTCAAAAGTGAACTGAATAGCAGGATCAATAGAATTCATTGTTGAAAGAACTCTATTTAAATCATCTTTATTACCTTCAAACAGGGTAAAAGTATCGTCTACGTAGCGGAACCATGCCGGGAAGTTTAAAAGTTTTCAAACAATTTTGATTCATAATAATGCATGTAGATATCAGCCAGGATGGGACTGAGGGGGCTTCCCATGGCTAATCCCTCAGTTTTGCTTGTAATATTTATTTTGGAAAACAAAATGTGTTTGTTTCCACATTTTTGTTTTTCCAAAATAAATATTACAAGCAAACTGAGGGATTAGCCATGGGAAGCCCCCTCAGTCCCATCCTGGCTGATATCTACATGCATTATTATGAATCAAAATTGTTTGAAACTTTAAACTTCCCGGCATGGTTCCGCTACGTAGACGATACTTTACCCTGTTTGAAAGGTAATAAAGATGATTTAAATAGAGTTTCTTTCAACAATGAATTCTATTGATCCTGCTATTCAGTTCACTTTTTGAACTTGAGACTTGCAATTCTCTTCCGTTTCTCGACATTCTGGTCACACGTAACACATCCAACTTCAGTACTACAGTTCACCGTAAACCTTCATCGGTTTTGCCTTCCACCACACTTTAAATCATGTCATCCGACTAAACAAAAGTTAGCTTCATTTTATTCCTATGTTTTCCGTGCTCTTCAAGTTTGCTCCTCCAAACTAGCCCTTGATGAAGAACTAAATTATTTAAAAGCAATAGCTATTGA